CGACCTATTCTGTTAAATACATTGTTTGACATTAAAACATATCATAGGTATCTAGTTTACAATACAAGACTCAATCAAATACAATTATTTGACATTAACATAATTAGATTAGTAAACATAAGTAAACCACATACTCTTACATATTTTTTTTTTGCTGAACAACCACTAATAAAAAGCAAAGATACAGATATATTACCTAAAAATAAAAAACAAAAGACATACATAGACATATATTCTACCTTAAAATTACTTCAACAAACAAGCAAACTATTAAAATATTACTCATCTTCTTCCCACATCGGAAACTCGTAAGGATACTCTTTTTTCATAGGAATGACTTCCTTTTTTTCTCCAAATAGTACTCACGAAGTTCTATTTTAGTCTTTAGCTTTCGAAAAATTTCTTCACTAGAGCGGATCCACTCTCGACAGATGGGATTTCTTTCCTAGTTCTTATAATCCAATTCCTTTTACGCTCAATGTCATCCCAGTAGTTGTCTAGAAGGTTTCGTTGGAAACGATAATCTTCAAAAGCCTTATCCAAGTCAGCTTCTCTTTATAACAACACTTTTTCACTTCCTCATCCATCTTCTCCCCTAATATAGGATGATCGACGTGGGGGTAGGGGATTTGTTGAAACGTTATGGGAATTTGACTCCAAAGGAGGCTTATTGTTGGACGTAGATGGCCAATTAAATTTTGCCAAGATCCTTTTCATCTCCTCTGATCTTTCTGTCATTTTCACACTACAATTTTTTGTATTGTTTCTTTGATTTCTGAATTGATAAGAAATGTACATTAAATAGTAGTCAACGGCTAGAAGATAGTAGTTAAAACCTATAGAAAATAGTCACTCCAATAAAATAGTAGTCAATGACTAATAGAAAGTAGTCAAAACCAATAAAAAAGTAGTCAAATAACAATGATGTGTCGAAACTTCACTGTACCATAAGATTACACATGAGGTAGTAGCCAATAGCTAGTAGACAACAGTCAAATCCTATAAGAATGTAGTCAAATTACAATAATGCCTTGGTACGATATGACAACACCTAATATAGTAGTCAAAACCTATTTGACAGTAGTCTAAGCCTATAAAAAAATAGTTAAATTGTCAAATATATATATAGACACTTAAATGTATGCGTCTGAGATTTACAAATAATATATTAGTGGTTAATCTGTAACCCTCATACACATACAATCATGTCCACCTCTCAAGAAAAATGGTGGTTGATACCACAAGAGAAGCAATTGCAAATGTTAACAAAAGAAGAAGAGATCAAGAATAAGATTAAAGGCGTTGAAGAAGATAGGAAACGGTTGGATAAATTACAAGCCGATATTTGGTCTAAAATGAGGTCGGTTCAAGACAAAGAACGCGACATAAAAACTGCAAAGGCTTGGGTACGAGATGCAATTGACTACGCCAACAAAGATGAGGTTAAAATGAAAAGATTCTCAAAAACATACAAAAAAATTACGACCGGGTGATTCAAGAAAAAACAAAATTTCCAAATGATTTTCCAGATGTTTGAATTTAATAATTCTTGATTAATCAAGTAGTAAGTTTATGCATTTTTTATGAGTTTATCTATGTAATAAGTTTTATATTTGCTTGTTTATTATGATTAATCTATATAATATGTACTATTCTCTTTATAGTTTGTTTAAGTTTAATAATTAGGGGAAATTTTGTTAAGTAATCGTCATCAAACAGTACACATTCAATGTCACTAAAAACATACAACTCGGACTAACTCAAAATCGACTGTATAGAAGATCCATAATATATCATAGCCATCCTATAACGAAACTGAGTAGCAACAACAACATGTACCATCGATATACCAATCGGTCGACCTGAAACAAGCTGCTCCATGAACATCAGCATAAACACACTGCACTCTCCATACATCCCCTCTTGTTGGGGTACGTCCGTAACATCCGTAACAGTGATGGGTGCTTTCTGAAGAGGCAAACCCATGTGCTTCCAATACTCAATTTCCACCAGAATGCGGTCCATAAGCTCTTCAAACCGAACAAAATCAATAATCTTCACGGCGCCAAATAATCGGAAGATGTCGTACAAATTCAATGACAGCGTGTCCATCCATAACTCGCCAAGTACCCAATGATGTGGGTTGATGCATATTGGAAAGTAAACCTATTTTAACACACAACCGTTGCAATTAATTACAATTAAATTCACTGATAATATATATTATTTCTTTACTTACACGGTCAACTTCCAGCCAAGATTTACATCCATCCAATGGGTCAAACGGATTTCCCGTTGCACTTCCTGCCCACTGGAACATCTCAAATCCACCAAAAAATGACGATGGCATGATTGTCCATCGAGCATCGTTCGGTCTCCGCTCATTCAAAAGCCTTCCCCATAGGTCAACAGGATGCATTTAAATTTAATTGAAACATAAGTAGTCTATAAAATTTTAATATTATAAATATTAAGGAATGTCTTCATACCGCTTCATCTAAAAATCCCATTTCACTTGCATAAAAAAGTCGATCCCAAAACCTTGCTTCCATTTTTTCATTGTATAACCGATGTTTCAAAAAAAATTGCCGGTATGTTTCCCATGTATAGAGCAGGAGCATTACAACTCGGATTCACATACGACTCCGATAAAAGTGTCGAGGGATCGCTGACAAATACGGAGGGCGGTTGTTCGTTGTGTATTGTGACATCCCCAAAATCACGGCCAGAAAAGACCGATTTTGTTTATGTTTTATAAAAATCAGAGTACTTTATTTTATAAAAAGGTTGCGGAATTTGTTCCCAGAAAAACATGGTAAATACGTTATTAAAACATTTTCAAAGAAACGTATTTATTTCATTTTAAAACGTTTGGGATGTCATCGTTAATACATGAACATAAGCATAAACAGAACTTACAATTATTCACACTAGTGGTCTACATCTCTTTAAATCTCTCAGTGTAATGTCACTTCATATCAACACCTGTGATATAAATAAACTGAGTGGGTCAGGTTGGGAAACCTGGTGAGCACATAGGGATTTCAATCCCACAATGTTATACCATATATATAGTTTAAAATTCACAAAATATACAATTTCACCATACATATATATAAACAACTCTTATCCCACCCCGTCGATCCTCGCAACGAGGCTATCCATACTCTCGGACCTAAGATTAGTCGTTTTACCTACTCCATACTCTCGGATCAGAAATGAACGAATTTACCAAATCCATACTCTCGGACTAGGGACGAATGACTAATCCATACTCTCGGATTAAAGATGAATGATTATGCCTAATCCATACTCTCGGACTAGGGACAATAGCTAATCCATACTCTCGGATTAACGACGAATGATTATGCCTAATCCATATTCTCGGACTAGGGACAATGACTATGTCTAATCCATACTCCCGGATAAGTGACATATACTAACTTCTATTCTCTGAGTTTAACTCACTTGTACTCGTAAGAATATACTACCCAATATTCCTCATATTTAATTTAGGTCTACTCTTTATCCTAAATTATCAAATATAATCAGGTATGTTCTTTAACACGAATTTCAAGCAACATCAATTAACTCGCACATAAACATATAATTAATACTTCAATCAATACTTGTATTAAAATCATGTTCATGAAAGGGACTATGCACTCACCTGAGAAGGTGGTGACTCGGTACTCGGACAACGCTTCGTTTACTTTAAAATAATTTCCTTCGACGAAACCTAGTGTTATCACCAATAGATTTTAGTCTATTATTCGCCGAGACTAATTAATAGTCTAGCTATTATTACTATTATATAAGCGTTAAAAAAATACTTATATAACCCATAATAACAGCCCAAGTATTTATTATATGTTCTTAATAACGTTAATATAATTAAATAAAAACTATATTAAAAATAGTGTAGGCGTAGCTCACTTACAGCGGGTTTTATAGAAAACCAGGATTTGCTTGGAGCAGCGCATCTGAGCCGAAAAGCTCTTCTTCTCGGAGCCGTCGAGCACTCCAGGGCTTCCGCCTCGTGCTAGGGAGGTTCCCTAGGCTTTTCGGGGGATTTCGGGGCTAGAGAGAGGTTCTAGAGAGAGAGTAAAGAGAAGAAAGAATGGGAAAGGTGTGAAGAAAATGAGGGTGGGAGAGGTGGTATTTATAGGGTGAAAATGGCTGAACTTGGTGCCACATGTCACCATCTAGTGGCAAGACTTGGGGAGAAAGCAATGGCCAAGATTGTGCCACATCACCCATTTTCGCACAACACACTTCCGACTTCTAAAATCCGTAACTTTCACATACGACCTCCGTTTTTGACGTTCTTTATATCACGCGTAGGTAAAAATAATATCTACAACTTTCATTTTGACTCCGTCGGCTAATTCTCGACCGATCTTAAATTTAACAGTACGAGGCGTTTAGACTGTTAAATGACCGCGAAGAATTCGTAACTCCTTCATACGGACTCCGTTTTCGTCTGTCTTTTTACCGTTGAGTTCCTATTAATGAGATCTTCAACTCTCATTTATTTCACGTAAGCCAAAAACCGCTCGAACTAAAATTCGAGTTTCGGGCTGTACACTGCTAAGCCGAATCTTAGAAAAATCATAACTTCCTCATACGAAGTCAGATTTGGGCGTTCTTTTTATCGACACTCTTAGTTTAACATATTCTACGACTTTTGTTTAGATTGCTAAGGCTAAAAAGTCTTCTATCGTAAATTCACTATTTACGTCTTCCGGTGCCGTGCCAGTTTTGCCGTAAAACTTCGGCGGGCCATAACTTCTTCGTTATAACTCGGATTTCGGCGTTCTTTATATGTACGGAAACCTTGTGACACATTCTAAAACTTGGTTACGACTATTCATTCTAAATAATCTTTTGTCGAAAAGTCATTTTTGATCCCTATTGCCTCTAAATTGACTAGCCCGGATCTGCGGGCGTTACATGTATTACCCCACCTGTACGATATCCGGGGGGGGGGGGGGGGGATTTTAAACCTACATTATATACATAGTCAATAGCTATCCATATAGTAATAAAATTATGGTAAATATGATTTTTACCATACTTACCGAAATGTAAGGAGAACTAAGATATTGAGAATGTTTCAATTGCCTAACCGGACGACCTTCTTTAACAACAAACCTGAGTATATGATTTTCCGCATCCACAATGTCGCTAGCAACAACCTCCTTTTTCTTCTTCTTCTACAAAAACATATTTATTTTTTAATATACTTTGAAAAAATAAAAAGTTTAATATACAAAAAAAATAATAATAATAATAACCTCCTTCGCGATTTGTTTTCTAGAATCATACTCTGGTGGATTACCAATATGATCATCCTCGTTAACTCGATTTGATTTTTGTGGACTATATACCACATCCTCATTCCCCTATATTTAAAGAAAAAAATAATTAATAAAAAGCTTTGTTAAAAAATTAAACAATACATCATATATATTTAAATTGATAGTAAAACCTCAAAAACGTCATTAAAAAACTGTTCCAAATCATCACCGTCTCGAGTTCCATCTTTATTTTTCAATCCTTGGATTTCTTCCTCCAAAGATTCAAGTCTTGCCATTATTTCTCGCAAGGTCATTTTGTTAATTTCCACCCTATGAGTTCGCTCGGTAGACCTAGAAGATTAGCTGTTTCCACAACTTGTTTTTGACGAAGACATAAATAATTGCGTCGTATCGCACCATTTCCCCGGATTGCTGAAAACATCTCCCATATCCATATCTTGTAATAAATATACGTTAATTCATAAGAGTTAGCAATAACTAAAATTAAAAAAAAAACCGATAAATTATTAAATATATTTTTTTGATTAGTTAAATATACCTTCAAATGAATAACAAAACCCGATAGTGTGTACACAATCGCTTTTGTTGGATGGTTGGACATATGATCCTCAAATTTCTTAAACATACCCGACAATTTATGGTATGTTTTACTCCATACGTAACTCCCCCATGAGAACTTATATTATAAGAAAAAGTATTAGGTAAACGTATAAAAATTAGTATTTTATTATAAATATTAAATTGACAAATACCTATTCCATTGATCCAGGTTCTCCACCACCCACAAATATTCCTTGGTGACTTTATCATTAAGCTCATTTCCCAAAAAACCTTGATTGAGGATACATAGCAAAATGGCACGAACACCGTCTTGAGCCGATATGTCATTGAACTGTTGATTCAAGATAAGGAGCTCTAAATCTTCTACAACTAAAGGAGCGTCCGTGCGATATGGGAAGACTCTGGACCGAAATGTATTTTCACCATATCCGTTTTTATACATGGTTGAAAATTCGATCATTGAGTTAGGACACCGACCCATGTAAAGTCCGGTCACCAGACAAAACTCCTTCAGCCCAAATGATAGCGTACGTCTAGAAAACCTAAAATATAGGTGTTCAGCTGTGTCCGTTTCAACAGTATGACGCAGCATATGCAGTAACAACCCATGAATAAGATGTCTGTCTCCGGACTGAGCTGGTAAGTCCAACAAGTAACCGAAGCTAGTTTTTGAAAACAGATCGCGCACGGGTTCGTTCAAGCGACTCAAAACTTCATGCAATTTGTGGCATGAAGCTTTGACAGATAAGTGACCCATCATCGATTTGTTTGGAAGCTACAAAATTAAATAAACATTAAGGTTAAATAAAGTTTTATAAAACTAAAAAAACTGATAAACAATTAGAGAAAACACACAATATAAGACTTAATCATTTCATATATTCTATTTACTTTGTATGAAATACCAAAGGAAATTAATTGACTACATTTTTTTTGTATTTTCTATACTACTAGTATACCAAATTTAGCATTGTACTTTCAAAATGGTGTGCTAGTAACATATTTTATAACAAACCCGAAAGAAGCAAAACACAATGTTATTTTATCAATACAGTATACTTCAAAGTATCTACAAATTATAAAAATAAAAACATTTTCAAATCGATAGTACATTGCTAATGTATGCTATAATTGAGACATAAAAAATAATATCATTTTAAACAACATGCAAACATTGAATCATAACATACATATAAGAGGATACAATCCTTAAAAATACGTTTAAAAATAGATTTCTTTTGAAGAATAATGAAAAAAATATATAAAAACATAGGTTTTAGGAAACCTACGATTTTTTTTGTCAACAAAAAATCATAAAATACATAAAAGCGGATAATTTTGTGCAGTAAACACTTGTACACCATAGGTTTCCATAAAACCTATAGTTTCGTTTTTTTTTTTTTTAAAAAAAAAAACTATATGACTACGAAATTAACTAATTCCGATCCCAATGAATCGATTTAAAAAAAACGAAAAAAAAACAAATTTTCGTACGGTTCTTACGAAACCGTAGGTGTACAAGTCGACAATGCACAATCTGTGCATTGGGCACTTGTACACCGTAGGTTTCGTATGAAATTTTGATGAAAAGTAGACAAACTTGATCTGAATATTTTTTTTATTATATACTTTGGGCTAATGGGCTACAAAAAAGTAAATGAGACCATGAAACAGTAGTCCATTTGCACAAAACAGTAGTTTTCTCAATAAAAAAACAGTCAACGACATTAACCGTAGTCAATCCTAAGTTGACTACGGTTTTGTGAGTTATTTTTGGTTAACCTGTATTTTTTTGCTATTTTTTGGTAAGTAATTAAGAAAAAAGGCTAGATGACACTATCTTTATACAAGTTGACACTACCTAAGTTGACGGCACATTTATACAAGTTTTCGGTTCAATGCCAAAATATTTTTACTCGATAAATGACTATAGTGCTTACTACTTGTAATTTTCAATTTATAGAATATCATTTTAAAGTTTAATTAATAATCAATATATATATATATATATATATATATATATATATATATATATATATATATATATATATTAAACTACACACCAAACAAATCAAAACTAACAAAATTTATCCGAGGGTATATATAAATATAGTAAATATTTTTACTTGATAAATGACTATAGTGCTTACTACTTGTAATTTTCAATTTATAGAATATCATTTTAAAGTTTAATTAATAATCAATATATTTTTTTTATTAAACTACACAACAAACAAATCAAAACTAACAAACATTTATCTGAGGGTATATATAAATATAGTAAATATTTTTACTTGATAAATGACTATACTGCTTACTACTTGTAATTTTCAATTTATAGAATATCATTTTAAAGTTTAATAAATAATCAATATATGTATTTTTTATTAAACTACACACTAAACAAATCAAAACTAACAAACATTTATTTGAGGGCATATATAAATATAGTAAATATTTTTACTTGATAAATGACTATAGTGCTTACTACTTGTAAATTTCAATTTATAGAATATCATTTTAAAGTTTAATTATATATATATATATATATATATATATATATATATATATATATATATATATATATATATATATATATATATATATATATATATATATTAAACTACACACCAAACAAATCAAAACTAACAAACATTTATTTGAGGGTATACATAAATATAGTAAATATTTTTACTCGATAAATGACTATAGTGCTTACTACTTGTAATTTTCAATTTATAGAATATCATTTTAAAGTTTAATTAATAATCAATATAAATATATTTTTTTATTAAACTACACACCAAACAAATCAAAACTAACAAACATTTATCTGAGGGTATATATTATATAAATATAGTACGTGTGTGACTACTTTTCAACGGACCATACAATAATATTATAAGCCGGAGCCACAAGTCACGGTGGTCAAATGAGCGGCGCCGGCAAGTTCAGATCAAACATAAACGGCTTCTTCGAAGTCCTTAATTTCCGATCTTCCTCGCTATCTAAATTTACACCATCATTATCACTGGAGGGATGATAAAACGACGCAGAAAAGTTACTTTGCCCGTCTTTCTTCTCTACTACCGGCGGTGAAAATGCCGTGAGACTGGCGCAGAAATTCATCTTCGCCTTCGCACCACGGAGGCTGAAGGCGGCTTCGTCGTAGGCTCGAGCGGCCTCTTCCGCCGTATCGAATGTGCCTAGCCACCGCCGACTTTTCTTCCATGGATCACGAATCTCAGCGGCGTAGCGTCCCCATGGCCTCTTACGTACGCCGCGATAGTGAAATTCCTTTCGTGGCTTATGCTTATGTGATGGTGGCGCTGGTACTGTCGGTGTTGTTACCGGAGCTTCGTCCTTCGTCCCGTAGGAGAATAGGTGGCGGCGGTGATGGTCGTGTAGAGTGTCGATCACCATTGGTGGTTAGTAGAGAGAGAGATAGAGGAAGAGAATCAGTGACAGGTATGAATGGTTCCAATGTGTATTTATACTCCGATGGGGTTGCCTGTATTGATGGAGACATGGTTAATTTTTCTTTATTCTGATCTTTACACGTTTCGAAGTTCTAAAATTTTGCCACAGTAGTATCATTTATTCTAAAAAGAACATTAAAGTTTCTATTTTTTATCAAATGGACACTAAAGTACTTTAGTCAACAATGGTTGTCAAACTTGACTAGCAAAAGGAAAAGAGCGTAATGCCCTTTCCAAATACTCCATGCGACCTCCATTTGTTCTGTAATTTTCTTTTGTTTTCATCATAGGGTTTTTTTTAGCAACAATTGGCTGAAAAGTTTAAAGATATCCTTTATTTCTTGTTAGAACTTCAAGCCATTTTGAGTGTTTAAATTTTCAAATGATCATCACTAAATGATATTGTTGGTTTAAAGTAAGTGTCCTTTATTGAATTTATACTTTGTGCAACTATTGTCATAAAACCATTATGTTTCCGAAAATTGATTATTTTCTAAGGGTTTTTGAAAACTTATGATACTTATATTGGTTTTGAGAATTGATTATACTTTAAGGGTTTTTGAAAACTAATGATATTTATAATGGTTTTGATGTTAGATATTTTTTTATGAAAAGTCTTTTAAAATTCAATGACAAATTAAATAAAGTTAGAGTTATCTTCAAGGAAAATCTTAGAAAAAACTCGTTATTTGAAAAAATTAATGATTAAATCCCCCCCCACCCCCCCCCCCAAAAAAAAATGATTAAAAATCCCAAGAAACCACCAAATTTCTCCATTTTTGTTTCTTTTGACTTGCTTAACAGGTAAAAGTACCAAATCGTTACTTTTTTTCAAAATAATGAGATTTTTCTATAGATTTTCTCAAATTTTGTATATATGTATAAATGTATTTTGTATGTATATTTTTACGTGTGTGTGTGTGTGTGTGTGTGTATATATATATATATATATATATATATATAGGCTTAGGTTATTGTATTATAACTGTTTATTGTGTGGATGTAGGATTGATTGTCGACCAATCATTTTAGTTATTAAAGTGATTAATAAGTATTATTGAATTAAATATAATTGAAAAATATCATCTAATTTAATTACAATGGTATTTTAGTCAATTAAGATAGATTTAATAAAGGAAAATTGCATATTTTAAGGGATCATAGATTCTATTAATTTCTAATTTTTAAAAACCAATTTTACGAATTATAATTATTATAATTTGGACGTTCTGATAGAATATGTTTATGAGTATATTCAAAAATAAAAATATTCTTGAACAGTAAAATATTAAAATTATTTTTGAACCTATTTCTTGATCATTACTTTAAAAACTTCTTGTAGAATGATAAATTCTCGAACCATCAAATGAAGAATAAAAATAAATTTTACATTAATTCTTATAGAATATAGGTAACAATTGCAAAGAATTATATTTATTGTTAAAGAATAAAACTAAAAATACTTTCAAATTAGCAAAAAAAAAAAAAATCAAAATCTAACAAAGACACAAATACATTCTAAAAGAATAATGTTACTAAGAATCATTTTCAATTTTGTGGTCCGTTCTTCAAGTGTCAATTTCTGAGAAAACAAATCCAATTGTAGTTTAGAATCCAATAATGCATTAGCAAATGAAAAATAAAAAACTAAATTACTTTGAAAAAATATGGGGACTTGTGAATTGCACCAAAATCAATAACCAAGAATTGTAGAACATGCATAAATTAGTGAGAAAATATCCATATTCCATTCCAACAAAATTGAAATTTAGGATTCCATTCCGACAGAATTGGAATTGAAGATTCAATTACCGTATGTATTATGTTGGAATTACCTTATAAGTTTTACTTAACCTTATCATTATGTGAAAAAGAAATAATAAAAAAAATCAAATCCCTAGCTTTCAACTTGTATTGAGCAAGTAAAACAAATTGGAATTACCTCATAAGCCTCGTTTTCTCAAAGCCTGCAAATATTTTCAAATTGAACACATTAAAAAAAGTCAAATCCATCTATTCCAATATGTCTTTCTAGGAATCGAACAATGCAAATGAGAAGAGGGAAAAAGAAGTACCTGACATTTGATTCCACAAATTCAGTCGCTGGAATCTTCTGAAATGTGGAAGATTTGGAATCAGAAAATCAAATCAATTAAGCACAATGTGGAAGATTTGGAATATTCTGAAATGTGGATAACCAGGCTTCGAATTAAGATCGAATAAGAATGCATTTAGGATGTGAATTGAAAGCACAAATCAAAACAATCTACTAACATAACGA